ACCCAAAAGGATTCATATTCTTTAAAAGAAGCATTAGTCTCTATTGGCTGACCAACTGCACTCAATCTGTAGTCCTCAGTGGAACTGCATCTACATGGAGGGAAGTATGCAGTGGGGGTACCACAAGGCTCTGTCTTAGGCACAGTATTCTTCAACATCTTCATCAATGATTTGGATGAGGGGATAGATGGGGAATGCATCAAATTTAGCCAATACTCCAGAAAATAGACTTAAGGTACAGAAGGATCTTGACAGATTTCAACATTGGGTGCTATCTCACAAAATAAAATTCAATGGTGAAAAACTAAGATTCTACATTTAGGAAAGAAAAATCAAATACACAGGTATAGGTGGTATCTGGCTCAATAGTAGTAACTATGACAGAGATCTTGGAGTGGACAATCACTTAAATATGACCCAGCATTGTGCTGCAGCCCCCAAAAAGCCAATGCAGTCCTAGACTGCATTAACAGAGGGATAGAATCAAGATCACGTTGAGTGTTAATATCACTTTATAATGCCTTGGTAAGATCACACTTGGAATACTACATCCAGCTTTGGTCACCACAATGTAAAAAAGACATTGAGACTCTAAAAAGAGTACAAAGAAGAACAGCAAAGATGATTAGGAGGCTAAAGCATATAAAGAACAGTTGCCAAAGAACCAATAGAGAGGGGACAAGAACTGATGAATGAACTAGAACAATTTGGAGCAGTGGCAGGACTTAAAATCAATAGAAAGAAAACAAAATTAATGACTAAAAATTTAACAGAAAAACAGAAATTAGAATTAGAAAAGGAGATGGGAATTCAAGTGATAAAGAAAATTAAATATTTAGGAATATGGTTGACAGCACATTGTAAGACATTAAAGGAAAACAATTATGATAAATTAATGCAACAGGTAAAGAAAGATTTAGAAATATGGGGTAAGCTACAATTTCTTTATTAGGTAGGATTGCTGCCATTAAAATGACTATTCTTCCAAAATTCCTCTATATATTCCAGACGATACCAATCAAAATTCATAAAAAATATTTTGTGGAACTCAATAGGATAATTTCAAAATTTATCTGGCAAGGGAAAAATGAGAATAAACTTAAAGGCAATGCAGGATATGAAGAGCAGCGGAGGGATGGCACTTCCAAACTGGGAACTGTACCATAGTGCAGCCTCCTTAGTATGGTTGAAAGAATGGGTGAACTTAACTAATAAGAGAATATTAATCCTAGAAGGTCATGACTTACAGAGGGGGTGGCATGCTTTTTTATGGGATATAGGGAAAACCAGTCAGAAATACTTTCATAGACACCTAATTTGAGATGCCCTCCTGACCAATTGGAAGAAAGTAAGGAAAAATATTATTTAAAGATCCCAATCTGGATCTCAACTATGGAGGCGATGATACACCCTAATAATTTGGATATTACCAAGATGATTAAATATAAGGATTTATTGGATCTGCAAGGAAATTTGAAATCATGGCAGGACCTCCAAGATCAGGGACTACAAATCGACCATTGGGCATACCTTCAAGTTCAAAACAGATATAGACAGGATAAGAAAGAATTCGGAATTTGTAATAAACCTCAGCAATTGGACAAAATTCTTTTAGGCCCAGACAAAAAAAATATAACAAAATTTATCTATTAGAGACAGAATTAGAGGAAGAAATAGTTAAAGGAAATATGATAGCCTGAAGTAGGAACATAGGACGCAGTATCACTTGAACAGAATGGGAGAGGGTTTGGAATAGAAATAACAAAATAACAAAATCACAAAATCGGCATCGTATAAAGAAAATGCTTATAAAATGTTTTATAGATGGCACCTCCCCCCCCCCCGAGATTAGCGAAGATGAACCCCAATATGAGTCCGAACTGCTGGAAATGCAAAAAAAGGAGGGAACATACTTCTACATGTAGTGGTCCTGTACAGAAGCACAAAGATACTGGCAGAGAATTAAAACATGGCTGGAGGAAATGACGACAGAACAGATTGAATTCAAACCAGAATTCTTCCTATTAGGGATCTTTAATAAACAATTTCCAAAAAAAGTGAAGTATATAATATTGCATATATTGACGGCAGCTAGACTGGCCTTTGCACAATGCTGAAAACAACCTCATACTCCATCAGAGGAAATGATTATTCAAAAAATACTAAATTGTGCAGAAATGGATAAATTAACCCTAGCATTAAAAGATAAAGAAACATCAATGTATTATGAGAGCTGGAACTGCTGGTATGAATGGCTAGATCAAAGATGGGCTACATAACATTGTAAAAGAGGATAAGCTATCATTGTAGTGATAATTATATATTCGCATTAAGGATTACTTGTAAATATGGCATAAAATAAGGATAGAAATAATGACCTACAAACTGTCGAAGATGAAATTGTTTTTAATCACTTTTTGATTTCTTTTTACTTTTACTTCTTTTTTCTTTTTCTCTCTTCTCTCTTTTACTCCTCAACTCTGTTTCGCTTCTTCTTTTCTACATTTGTGTATGTGTTGTTTGTTTATGTTAATTGTAAAATTAATAAAGTTTATTTTAAAAAAAGAACAGTTGCTGAAATTGGGTATGTTTAATTTAATTAAAAGAAGTACAGATGACATGACAGCAGTGTTCCAATTTGTCTGAAATGGTATAGGGTCTCCTGCCTGAGGAGGGGGTTGGACCAGAAGACCTCTAAGGTCCCTTCCAACTCTGTTATTCTGTTCTGTTCTATTTTCAATACATTTTCAAAAGGAACAAAGTAACTATACAATTTTCAGAAGCCTTATAACCTCTACAAATAACTTTTTAAAAATTAATCATCCATTGGCTCATATCAAATCTCAAATTACCCATTCAAGTAAAATTGATTTATACAGATATTAAGTAATAGTATGGAAAACATTTCTAATATATGCTTGACACGATCCTTTCAAGTTCAAAATGATCTAAATTCAAAAGGTACTGGAAACTTTTCTGAAACTGCTCCAACCATTAAAATATTTCTGAGACTGAAATGACCCATTTTCAAGCTCAAAGTACCTGTACTGAATTCCAACCTGAATTGCTCTGTGCTTGACACACTTGCCGAATATTCAAACAACATCAGTGGGCTTGTGATAAGATTAGAATAAGGCACTTCAAAATCAATGCAACTGTTTTTATGGACTGTGCTGAAATGAGTAAATTGACATTTGAAATCGGAGAACAAGAAGATAAACAATTTTACATGATATGGGATTTGTTTTAGCAATGGTTGGATAAAAAGACATGGTAATGTAATAGACTAGGAAATCTTGTAATAGAAGTTTAATAGATCGATATAAAATATAATATAGATATATATAAAACCATTGGGTGAAAGTACAATATAAATTTTATAATAAAATCTAGAATAACTCGTATAAAATGATGGAATAAATAGTTTAGTCATGAATGATTAATAACTGATAAATATTTAAGAATATGATAGTTTGACAATGTGAGAATTTATATAAACTGTGAGTAATGACTATGAAAGCATAGCACAAAAGTGTGTCAGTAACCAACTGACACACTGTATGTATATAAAATGGAAGACGGGTTTATGTTTTTATGTTTTGTCTGTATATGTTTGTCTTAAAAAATAAAAAAAATATATAATAAAAAAATCAATGCAACTGTTTTACAGACTTCTATGGGGGACTTCCAGTATCATCCTGAAATATTTCATATTCTGCAGATCTTCTGGTGACTTCAAGAAGAAGTTGTGACTACTTACAAATTGCCTTTTCCTTCCCCGTGCCCTTAGAATTCATGAGGAAATTCCATTCGTTGCATTATTAACTTCAAGCCATTATGACAGTGAACAAAAATGCTTTAAATGAGTGTTTCCCAACCTTGTTGACTATGCTGACTAAGGAATTCTGAGTCGAAGTTCACATATGTTGGTTGCCAATGTTAAGAAACACTTGCTTTAGACTGAGAACACACTCCATGTTTGGATGACGTGGGTCGCTTATTGTTTCAAAAATATTAATGAAAAAAAGTGGAAATAATGCCTACTATACATAATGGAATGCTCTTATGTTCTGTGTTTCTCAAAAGTTAGATCTAGTTATGTCTCATTTTGTCCAAGAACTAAGAACTTGCTCTTGTAGAATAGGAACGTGAGTGTTAGGGGAAAATAGAGTTTGACTTTTGAGATTATCTACTGACGTGGTTTGGCTTTTGATGAACCTCAGAGGACAAAAAAACCCCCAAAGGAATGCAGATTATCATACAGGCAGCCTTCTAGAACAGAAGTCTTAAAAATTAGATGATGTAACATGTATTTTCCTTTCATTCCATCCTGAACATCATTTCACTCATTTTCTCTTCTGCTTTTATCTATGTGCTGCAATACAGATTTGTTTTATATTTAAGCGCTGAATGAAAGAACCTTGGTAGTTCTCTCTATTTCAGACAATAGTTCTGACAATAGTCAGAATAGACAATAGTCCTAGTTCTTCAAATCGGGGACATTTATTTGGAAATAAGCAGCAGCAAACCCACCCACCTCAAATTTAATCTATTACTTTATATTCAAATGCAACAAGATCTCCACCATCACACTGAAGTTATTTCTGAATACTTAGAAAATGCCCAGAACTCATTTGTTAATTATTTTTTAAAAGGGACAGCCTTAGGGGAGAAATAATTTGCAAACAAAAAATCAATTCTTTTACTGTTATTATGGCAAATGAAAAATAACTATGGGATGTGAATTTCATTTGCTATATTACAGACAGGAGTAAAAAGTAAAAAAAAAACACCTTTGATATTAATATTACTGTGATACATATTTGGTGTTTATGTTAAATGTGTACTTCCCTATCTAAATATCAAACAAATGTATATGCTACCTTTGGTGGGATAACCTGATTGGGGAGCAAATGGAAGATTGGTATATATTCACACTAGGGTTTCAGCTCTCTGCAGCAATTTCTGCACACAATTCATCAAATTGGTGGCAATCTTACTTGATGTAGTAGTCTCTCCCATCTCTGTTTGCCATCATTTCCCAACCATAGGAAGATCCCTGGTTCAAGGTCCAGGTTCCTGAAGTAGGAGGCCAGCCTGAAGACTTGGTCCTGTGGCTAAAAAAGGTAATTCATTAGAATATAATATCAACCATTTAATCTAGTATTTAGGTTGGGTATAACTACACAGCCTCAGCTCACAAACCAAGTTTATCATACTACAATGTTAAGCTATAAATATATTTCCTCCATTCCACCAGATCCCTCAATTTTAAAATTCTGGTTTTAAGATGCTTACAGGCAGTGGACTGTTACCATTTCTAATCAAAAGGTATGGCACAACTATTTTTCCTTCTTCTACAAATATTTTCTAGAACAAATAGATGATAGAAAGACTGATTACAAATAAGACATAATTATTTCTAGAATCCTCATCACAATTATTCAAGGAAGTGTCCTTACTGTATAAAAATTAAATTCACTTTTCTAACTTTAACTATTTCAGAGATTCACTTCATTCCACCATATTTTGAATGGTTGACATCTTGGGAAAGATCCAGGAGGAATCCTGCTTGCATGATGGCTTTGGGCACATAGTCTGAAGAATTTCTTCAGAGGTTGATCATACAGATAACTGTACTCATTATTATAGGAAGAATGACAAGTAGATATATCCTTATATCCTTTCAACACATGGGGGACATGTGAAGCATTACTATGTGGTAGCCATATTTTGAAAAATAGCCCTTAATTTAATTTAAAAAGATACAGAATGAAAATTTGGAAGTTTCTTTCCTAATATCTTTCCACCGAATAAGATATATTCTCAGTGTCTTATTCAGTGTTTTAAGCTTTCTAAGTATTAGTCATTTCTACCACTATTTGAAGAATAAAAATTTGGTAAAGTATTATTTCCATGCATACAATCCATGTACCTATTTCTTTTTAAATAAGGGTATTACTACTATTTACCCACTAGTAAAAGATCCTAAAATACATTTAAGAAAATATAAATTTCACTGTTAATATAATATAGATATGTGCAAAATCACCTGAAAAAAAAGAAATGTTAGAATTAATTAAATAGTCTCCAATCATCTAATTTTTTAAAGTCAAAATTTCTTGAAAGACTATTTTTTCCTAGTCTTCATTTAGATAAATTAGTAAACCATTTAAAGGTATTTATATTCATTTTCCCTAAGCATAGTACAATTATGTTATAATCAAAATCAGCACTTAGGGTAACACAGTGTATAATAAGTTTAAAACGTTATTAAATATATACAGTAACATTCCACATTATATTCCAGGATTATGTCAAAGTTGACTAAAATTAAATTTTAAATACAGTACAACAAAGCTAATTTATTCAAGGTAAAACAAAAAAAATTATTGGGACTTATGGATATACAGTTAGAAAAAACTCATGGACAATTGGTTTTATATATGGTAACTGCAGCATGGCTATGAAAATGGAAAAATACAGAAAGATACAATGGAGGAGTGTAAAGAACCTGCAGAAATGGCAATACTGGATTAGGGACGTAACGGTAATTTTTTTTATAAAAACTGGAATATTTTACAAACTTTTTGCTGGAAATGAATAAATATAAACTGGTTATTTCTGAATTTGCTTATTGAAAGGGGCTTAATTTGAAAAGAAGGGAACTATATAATGTCAATCTAAAGGGGGAGAAATGATAAAAGTTTGCAACTGCTGTAAAGAAGAACTGAAGATTTGAAGCTACTTCTTTAATTCTCCCACACACACACTTTCTCCATTTCTAGAACTTTTTAAAAAATCATTTATTATTTTCTACTTTTCTAAATACATTTGCTTTTATTTATCTTTTAATTATATAAAAACTTCACACACAGAGAGAAACAGAGCTAAACGGAGGCTGGGGGCAACATGTGCAAGTGGTGACAAGCGGCCGCAGAATAAGTAGGACGGCAGAAGGGTTGTCAGTGCCGCTGCTGCAAGGTGAAAATAAGATCTGGTGCCTTTTTTGGTGGCAAAAATATATATAAGAGCAGGCCTTATTTTTTGGGAAACACAGTAACTGGCTGACAAACCATACTCAAGAAAAAGTCTTTAATGGTACTACATCCATATGGAGATAATTAAGTACTGGTGTACCACAAGGCTTTGTTTTAGGCCCAGTACTCTTCAATATCTTCATAAATAGCTTAGATGAGGGAATAGAAGGGGAACTCATCAAATTTGCAGATGACACTAAACTGGAAGGAATAACCAACACCCCCGAAGACAAGCTTGGGATCCAAAAAGATCTTGAACAATGGGCCCTATCCAACAAAATGATTTTTAATGTGGAGAAAAGCAAAGTTTTACATTTAGGCAGAAAAAAAAATCAAAGGTATAACTACAGATTAGGTGAGACCTGGCTCAAAAACAGTAACTGTGAGAGGGACCTTGGAGTCATAATGGATGGTCACTTTAATATGAGCTAGTAGTGTGCAGTAGCAGTAAAAAAAAGCTGATACAATCCTGAGTTGTATAAACAGAGGCATAAAATCAAGATCATGTGAAGTATTAGTGCCACTTTATAAAACCCTAGTAAGATCACACCTAGAATCCTGCAACCAATTTTGGTCACCATACTTTAAAAAAGATGTTGAGACTTTAGAAAAAGTTCAGAGAAGAGCAACTAGGATGATCAAAGGCCTGGAGACTAAAACATATGAAGGATTTGGGTTTGGCTAGTCTAAAGAAAAGACGAATTAGAGGTGACATGATAACAGTATTCCAGTATTTGAGGAGCTGCCACAAAGAAGAGGTGGTCAAAGCACCTGAGTGCAAGAAATGAAACAATGGTTGGAAACTAATCAAAGAGAGAAGCAACTTGGAATTAAGGAGAAATTTTCTAACAGTGTGGACAATTAACCAGTGGAACAGCTTGCCTTCAGAAATCGTGGGCACTCTTATCACTGGATGTTTTTGAGAATAGTCTAGACAATCACTTATCTGAAATTATATAGGTTCTCCTGATTGAGCAGGGGGCTGGACTAGAAAACTTCCAAGGTCCCTTCTAGCTTCCTTTCTTTTCCTTTCTTCTTTTCTTTTTTCTTCTTCTCTTCTCTTCTCTTCTCTTCTAAATGTACTTAGTAATAAATAGCCCGGCAATACAATATAATGTACCAGTATTCGCCAGTGTACATTGAATTATAGTAGAATAACTTCAGTTACCTTACATCTCCTATCCAAAGAATAACAGGCAATTATGCAAAGAAGATATTTGCAAAATTCCAGCTTGTTAACTAGTCACAACCATTCATATATTAGCATACCCTTCTCACAGTCATCTTTATCACTTCTTGATTTGATTACAGAGATGCTCTTTGCGTTGTGCTGCCCTTGAAGACTACCTGGAAGCTACATCTATCCAGAATACAGCAGTTTAAGTTTACACTATCATTGTCAGCTTTGGAAGCCATATTAGCACCAGACACTTCCACACTGCCACATTCTTGAGCCTGGGAAAATGGGAGGGGGAATTTATTGGAGCATATGTGGTTAGACATAATAGTATTCTTCTTCTAGGTCAAGGTCATGTTATTTCTGCACCTGGCTGAGAAGTGCTTGAGGGGACATCTCAAGTTGGGACAGATGGTGATTGGGGCATGTGAAGCAACGAGGGGTGCAGGGGGTGGATTTGTAATATTTTACTTATTGAATAGAATTCTTTATTGGCCACACAAGGAATTTGTCTTAGTGCAAACACTCTCAGTATACATAAAAGATACATGAAGGGAAACCCGGAAGTTTCAGATTCGGGATTTCCCAGATGTGTTAGTTTACTATTCTAATAAAAGGAACCTTTGAGAAGATGTCTGTCTTGGAGTTATTGATTGGAGTTGAGGTTTTCTGGAATGCTGACAATCATTATATTGGTTTAAAGAGCCCAGAGCTCTTTTCATTAAGACTGTGTATTCCAGTCAAACTCCCGGCCCACGGGCTGGATGCATCACTCGCTGGCCATGCCCATGCCCGGTTTAGCGAAGGGGGAAAAAAAGTCCCAATACATCACATAATGCTGCCATGATGATGGGAGTTTGACACCGCTGGTGTATTTTAACACCTTGGGTAAAAGTAACATATACTTTTCGATTAGCAATCACTTATCTGGAAAGCCCAGATTACTTCCAACAGTGTATTTTGCCCCTTCAGTTTTAGCCATTATGGCAAAGCAGAACATCCAAGAACTTGTAATTTCTAAACCTAAAACTCACATCTTTGCAAAAGCACGTAAAATTAATGACATATTGTCATGCATTTTTATATAAAAATAAGGTTCACGGTGTTCAAAGGAACAAAAAAATATGATTACTAAGCAGCAAAGAAAATCCATCATACATTAAGAAACATTCAAAACTTTAATCATTTTAATTTCACTGTTCAGATAGAAAAAATAATCGTTGGGTGATTCAGCCTTTCAAAACTATGTTTGAAAATGAAATGTTCAATACTATTACAAAAGTATAAGCATAGAGGGAGAAATAAATAATTAGCTGAAAATTATAATATAGCTGAATAAAATTAAACTTTTTCAAAAGTTTTTTTCTTGCTTACCATCATTCTAAAATAGTATTTCAAACACAGATGGTTTAAAACACAGACACCCCACTTACTTTGTAAAGAAAGAAAAACAAACAGCATGACAGAAATTCCAATGTTCAGTTCAGCGCAGCGCAGCAGGATGTAAACTGCTGTATTTTATACTGCCTCACATTTTAGTGGATTTAGTTTATCCCCCAGAGCTTAGATCTAGGGAACAAAAGATTGATTTCCATTGAAAATGCACACGGCAGTGATTTAGGGAGTGTGCTTGATGGTAGAAAGGTAGTCATTACAGCGTGTAATGCGGAACTATTAACTCTGTCCCCTTGAATGAAATTCTGTCGCTGGAACAATTTGGTTTCAATATTGAATGCCTTGGATGTCATGGCAATGGGGGAAAAAACTCAGTTTGTTTTTCTGAGGATACTGTGGAATAATTAACAGAAAGGGTCCCATATTAATAGCAAAAATGAATAACGGTGGTTTGTACAGATTTGTACAGATTCTTTTCTATCTTGTTTGGCAGAATTGTTGGCTAGATATCCAAACATAAAGTCTTGACCAGTATCCTCATATTCATATAGTTTTCCTTGAAACCATAGTTAAGCTTGGTGGGGAAGACTTCTGAGGGAGGAATAGTTTATTAGCATGTCTTCAAATTAGCAAAGACAATGACCACAAAAGAACTGGCAAGTAAATTAGTTCTACAGGACCTCTCTGCATAAGAAAGGGATGGGAGAATAACTTTGTGTTCTGGACAGCTCCTCCTCACAAGGAGACAGCAGTTTTCCATGAGTTTCAGCACCAGGAGATGAAGTAAAGCCACAATGCTCTCAATCATGGTGGACCTTTTAAAGCAGTAGTCACCAACTAGTGGTCCGGTTGGTGGTACTCAGTGCACCTGCTCCACAGGTTGGTAGTCTGCAGTGCACCCAGGTGGAGGAGCTGCTCTGGGATGACCAATGGGCCAGTCCTGGGACTAGAGCTCTGGAATATGGGACCAACCAGGCAGCTCGTGCTGGGGCTAGAAATCTCTGCCGTAGGGAGGCAGGCAGGCTGAAGCAATGGCTGTTGGAAACCCACCGCTCTTTCGTTCCCCTGCTATGGCTCCCTATCATCTGAACCTACCTGTGGCCAGCCCCATCCCTCGCCCTCCCCTCCCAGTCACTCCTCACCTGGCATGAGAAGGTAAGGGAGGGGGATGGAGACTTGCTCCACATTCCAGAGTGGGAGCGAAGTGCCCCTGTACTTGCTTCATCTCTGCCGTTGCAAAGCGCTGCCGCGGCTCTTCCTTTTTGCCTTTCCCTTCCCGAGGCGACGCGGGACTGGGGCCGCACCGGCGGCAGCAACTCCCGACAGCCCCAGCCGGACACCTGAGCGGAGCCCGGGCGGAACTGCCTGTTGCCGCCGTGGGCGCCGTTGCGGGCGCCCGGCTGCCCAAGTAAAGAACAGGGCCACGCCGGACCATCGGAGAAGCGGAGCAAAGCCGGACACCAGCAGCTGCCTCCCTCGGCGCAGAAAGCCTCCCCCAACCAGCCGGCCGGTCTCCTCCTCCTCGGTCACACAGAACAAACAGGCAGAGAAGGAGGAGAGCAGCTGGCCAGCCGGGGGAGGCCTCCCGTGCTGCGAAAGAGGCAGCCAACGATCTCCGGCGCCATCCTGCTCCATACGCTGGCTGCTCAGACTTGCCGGGCCTGGCACATAGAACAGGGCGGTGCCGGATGTTGGAGAAGCCGAGCGGAGCCGGGGATCATTAGCCGCCTCTTTTGCAGCACAAGAAGCCTCCCCAGGCAGAGAAGAAGGAGAGCAGCTGGCCAGCCGGGGGAGGCCTCCCGTGCTGAGAAAGAGGCAGCCAACGATCTCCGGCGCCGTCCTGCTCCACGCGCTGGCTGCTCAGACTTGCCGGGCCCGGGACATAGAACAGGGCGGTGCCGGATGTTGGAGAAGCTGAGCGGAGCCGAAGCCACCTCGGCTCGTGTTGTTTTCTGAGCCCGCGAGCCTAGAGCCAGGGCGCTTTCATTGCACGGCGGAGCTTCTTGTCTCGGGAAAAACCGGCCGTCGTTGCTGCCCCCTGAGGGGAGGGCGATTCTGGGCTGCGCGATTGGGGGACTTCGTGGCTTTGGGTGGGTGGGTGGGTGGGAGCGAGGACGGACGGAGTCTGTGAAGCGGGGCTTGCCTGCCCTTGCTGGCTGCCTCTGCTTCCTTAGGGGTGGGGAAGGGGGCTCATCTGGACCAAGGGTGAGTCTCCCCCTCAGTTTCCCCTGAAGGATCTTCCGTTGCTTTTGCCTTCTCCCTACATCTTCCCTCTGTTAAAATTCCCCCCCCCACACACACACACACACTTATTTTCGGGCGGATAGATTTCATGTCTGAGCATTCTCACATGACGGTGGGTCTTCCCCCCCCTAAAAACAGTTAAAAAAAGAAAAAACAATATATCCTCATGCAAGAACTTTTCTGCTTCCGATTACCCCCATGCTTAAAAGTTGCAAAGGAAACACGGAAGCAGGGAAGCGCCTGCCCAGCTCCGGAGCTCCACACCATTTTTTTTTCAGAGGGGAATCTGACTCGAGTATAAGCCGAGGGGGGGGGGGTTTCAGCACAAAAAATGGGCTGAAAAACTCGGCTTATACTCGAGTATATACGGTAAGTTTGTTTGTACCTGTGATGAAGTGTGAAAATAACATATTAAAATATTACTTTTCTTTTTTTCCCATTTTTATTTCTTCTATCACACACACACACACACACACACACACACATGTTTTCATAGTTCCTTTAATATTTTGTCAAAGTCAAAAGAATGACCACAGGGATCATAGAAGGTTGGGAAGGAATTGTTAACATGTAACAATTCTGGTGAAAATATCAAAAGCTCCAAGTATATTAATCAAAGATATTTACAATATAATCCTTTTCATGTTGACTTAATGGAACTTATTTGGATTTCAAGGCTAATGGACAACATAAAATAAATAAAGAAAATAAGTATTAAATTAAAAACTTATCCACGATGAAAAATTACTTAATACACTATTTGGAATTTAATTATTTATTTTAATCCAAATATGTTATAATTTATTCCTAATTTAAAAGAAAAAAATCATTTGGAAACTGGATGTTGTTATTATTGCTCTACATACAAAGAATATGACATAACATGGAACAAAACAAATTCTCTGTTCTTTAAACACAAGATCTGTATGATACTAATTACATACTAAAGGCAATTTTATTGATACAATCAGCACTAGTACCGCAGTTTTAGAAAAGAAAATTTTAAAACAACATGGGAAGGAAAGGTCCTTAATTCCTTTCCTGAGTTTAAAAAGAATATTTGCTTTTGAAAATAAAAATGATTGCTTTTCTGCTTGCAGCCTTTCTATGCCAACTTCTCTCTTCTGAAAAAAAAAGTCTTAAAATTTCTTACTTTCACTTGCCCAATATTAATTAGCTTTAACTAACACATAATTGACAGAAATATGAAAACAAATACTTCCAGGGAATTTCTTATTTTTATTTTAATTGTGTTCTTTTTTCCAAGTATATTAATATATTGAATATATCTCATAATAGTCAGCAGTATGTTGGCTTACAAAACAGGCTATAGATTAAAGATTCCAAATTGCAAATCTGATTGTATTGGTTAAAAGGTATTAAAATTGAGAGGTACCATCTTTATTATCAGAAAACACCAATATGACTAAGTCTGGTAACCTAGCATAGTTTTTACTAATTTTAATAAACAATATTATGTGAAAGTGTAAATGGTGGTAAATAATAAAGAATATCAATAAAAAGGAAGGAAGGGAGGCAGGCAGGCAGGCAGGCAGGCAGGCAGGCAGGCAGGCAGGAAGGAAGGAAGGAAGGAAGGAAAAAGGAGGGAGGAAAGGATGCCTGCTTAAGAAAATAAATATAATAATATGAATGAAGAAGGTCTGGCTAAAATGTACGTCAAAACAAGTGATAAAGATTTGAAGTATGGCATATTTTGGATGGATATGGAGTTTGAAGTTAATGGTAGAATGAGGTAAAACTGGTATGAAATTAAAGTAAAGCATTTGTGAGAATAAATGGAATACTTATAAATTGCTCTTTAGTAAAGAGGCAGTAATATAGGGATGTACAATAAAGTAATGGATAAATGAATAAGAATGGTTTTGGTGACATTAAAGGTGTGTTGGTTTGGAGATAAATGTACAAATAATGTAATATGGGTAGAATGGTTCTGAAAATTAATATAGCAAGGATTGATCCTTACTATAGTTACATCTGACAGGAAAAATGGTGTGAAAAATGACATCAACCAAACAAGAAACTAAAGAAGATGAATTTGATAACTAGACTGCATGGCTTTTGGAAAGGAACAATGAGAGGTCCCTTTGACCACTGTGAGGAGGGTGAGGAAGAAGGAATGGAATTTCCTAGGATACCAGTGTAAGAAAATATACAAATGGGAATAATTTGTACTCAATCTGAATTGCTGTTCTCAGATATAAATCTTTATTTACTTACATTGTTTGATCAAGCTTATTACCAAAGAATTTTAAGAATTAAAACTTTTATTATGCTACTGTAAATACTATATAAGTATAATAAAAGCCAGGATAGTTAAATCAC